CACTGACTGCTATTCAATCTATAACAGTGAAAAAAGTCTTTTGTTTTTAAATGCAAGCTATTGTGACACCAGTGAGTGATGGCACTGGGCACCGTATCCACTGTGAGCTTAAAAAACCCGCTTTAAGGACACTGACTGCTATTCAATCTATAACAGTGAAAAAAGTTTTTTGTTTTTTTAAATCCAACCATTGTGACACCAGATCTAATTGGTGGCACTGGTCAGCGTATCCACTGTTAGCGTAACACACCCGCTTTAAGGACACTGACTGCTATTCAATCTATAACAGTGAAAAAGTGTTTTGTTTTTTTAAATCCAAGCTATTGTGACACCAGATGTAAGTGGTGGCACTGACTGGGGAAATGGGCACAGTATCCACTGTGAGCCTGACACAGAAGCTGGCAGCAGTGGCAGACAACTGACTGCTATTCAATCTATAACAGTGAAAAAGTTTTTTTGTTTTTAAATCCAAGCTATTGTGACACCAGATGTAATTGGTGGCACTGACTGGGGAAATGGGCACAGTATGCACTGTGAGCCTGACACAGAAGCTGGCATCAGTGGCAGACAACTGACTGCTATTCAATCTATAACAGTGAAAAAAGTTTTTTGTTTTTAAATCCAAGCTATTGTGACACCAGATGTAATTGGTGGCACTGACTGGGGAAATGGGCACAGTATGCACTGTGAGCCTGACACACAAGCTGGCAGCAGTGGCAGACAACTGACTGCTATTCAATCTATAACAGTGAAAAAAGTTTTTTGTTTTTAAATCCAAGCTATTGTGACACCAGATGTAAGTGGTGGCACTGACTGGGGAAATGGGCACAGTATGCACTGTGAGCCCGACACAGAAGCTGGCAGCAGTGGCAGACAACTAAGTGCAATTACATTACATAGAAAAAAAAAAATTAAAAAAGCATACCCTTATCCCTAACCTAGCTATGCTTTTCCCTATCTTATGAACAGCAGCTACACTTTCCCTCCTCTTACTAAGCATGCAGCTTGAGAATGAATCTAAAATGGATGCCTTCCAGGAGGTGGGAGGATCTGCTAGGGAGGGTGTGCTGCTAATTGGCTGGAATGTGTCTGCTGACTGTGAGGTACAGGGTCAAAGTTTACTCAATGATGACGAATAGGGGGCGGATCGAACAGCGCATATGTTCGCCCGCCATGGCGAACGCGAACATGCTATGTTCGCCAGGAACCGTTCGCCAGCGAACCGTTCGGTACATCACTAAAAATAATGAAAAAAGAGAAATAAGAAAGGATATAAACAATGTTAAAAAAAAAATCAGATTATTGCTGTACAAGAGACACTTTATCTAGTTCCTGTGACTGAAGGCACCACACCACTCAACTTTTCAGCACAAATGGAAATTGTCAAGGGTGAGTCTACGCCACCATACGCCAAGTAGGTATATATAGGTGTGACGAAAGCCACTTCGCCACTGGGTTTTGGAGAGAACTACTTGCCAACCTTTTGCCCTGTGACTATGGCCCCTTTAATTTGTTTTGGCTGAGAGACCCTATTTGTGGCTATTGGGACTTTAAACAATGATTATTCCAACTCCCGAACAGTCAAAGTGGCCGCCATTCGACATTCAAACACGTGGTGGTGGCCATCTTGCTCGCATGGACCAAAACCGCAAATAGACTTCAAGGGGACTTAGCCGTGAATGCCATGGAACTATTTTTGGCATGAAAACTTCTCGGATCCCGGTCAGTCCTCCAGCGGCACTTAGCCGCAATTCGATGGAACTGTTTTGGACATGAAATCCTGCATTCACCTGGGCAAAAATATGACTTCCATAAAATTTCTGAACCCCTGATCTGATCTGGGTGATTTTTGGATATGTTGTTCACCCAGGGCTATCAGGGGATGTAAGATTTATGTGGATATGTTGTGATTTGGGATACTTATGGTACTTTATAAAAATTTGTTTTTTTTTCTGCCTGGGGATAATTAAGTTAAAGCATTATCTGCCTTAATTATATCACAGGAATAGGGGAGGGATTGTGTGCTGTATGTGGGAGTGTCATTAATTGTTACATTGTTTTTATTGGTCTGTACATTTTGTAATCCGGTGCCCCATAAGGTCCAATGGGTGTTCCTCTGGCCTGGGGAATTGTATATAAATCCAACCTGTGCCAATAAACCTTCAGACTTCTTACCCTCAACTTGCAGCCTCACCTCGTGTTGTAGGGAACAGCTAAAATCACTACAGGGATTGCTATAATCATTTTACTCCCTCGGATTCTACTAGCTCTTGTAAGAGCTCTACAGCTTATCCTGCTATACTCTCTTGGGGCCGAAGGTTACCCATTGGAAACTAGAGCCTTGTCATAGGTCCATGGTGGACAGAAGACTGAGAGACCCCAACCAAGCTCCAAGCTGCAGCGGTTGTGAGGTCTGCAGTGCTTATGGTGTCTGGTGCAGTGCTGATGGTCCTTGGTGAGCACTAGGAGCATCAATTGGAGGAGGCACTCGGTTGGAGTGCCAGGTGGTCCGTCACAATAGGTATACTCAGCGTTGTATTTGCCGGGAGGCAAACATGGCATTTGCCTGGGTGGCACTTTCCAGGGGGCATCAAAAACACCGCCCTCAAATGCCCAGGCAAATGCCTTGTTAGCCTGGTGGCAGGCTGCTAGCTGAGCTCCAAGCAGGCGGCGAGGAAGCACTGATTTGTGAGATCTCCCTGCACAGCAACCTCGCGCGCCGCAGATGTATATGACGTCACATTCCGGCTCCCAGCATTACTCTGTGGTGCGTGAGGAAGCTGAGCAGGGAAAGCTCACAAATCAGCACTTCCTCACTGCCCGCTTGGAGCTCAGATAGCAGCCTGCCACCAAACAGCCCCACTGGATCCCAGGTAAAAATCCACCCAGCTCTCCCAAAGATAGGGAGGCTGGGTGGATTTAAATTAAAATAAAAAAATAATCTGTGAGTGTTGAGGGGAAATGTGTGTGTGTGTGTGTGTGTGTGTGTATGTCTGTCAGTGTGTGTGAATGTCTGTCAGTGAGCCTGTGTGTGTATGTCTGCCAGTGTGTCTGTCAGTGAATATGTGTATGTCTGTCAGTGAATGTGTATGTCTGTCAGTGTTTGTCTGTCAGTGAGTGGGTGTGTGTATATCTGTCAGTGAGTGTGTAAGTGTGTGTGTGTATCTCTGTCAGGGTTTGTCTGTCAGTGAGTGTGTGTGTGTGTATGTCTGTCAGTGTGTGTCTTTGAGGGACCCTGTGTGTCTGAGTGACTGTGTGTCTATCAGTGAATGTGTGTTTGTGTCTGAGTGATAGTGTGTTAGTGTGTGTGTGTGAGTGTGCCTGTGTGTCTGTGAGGGAACCTGTGTGTCTGAGTGATTGTGTGTGTTTGTCTGTCAATGAATGTGTGTGTGTGTGTCTGAGTGATTGTGTATGCCTGTCAGGGTGTGTGTGTCTGTAAGTGGGTGGATGGGTGTCTGTCAGTGAGTGAGTGTGAGTGTGTCTGTATCATTGAGTGTGTATGTCAGTGAGTGTGTGCGTGTCTCTCAGTGATTGTGTGTGTCTGTCAGTGTGTGTATGTGAGTTAGTGATTGTGTGTGTCTGTCAGATTGTGTCAAATCAGTGAGTGTGTGTGTATGTCAGTGCATCTGAGAGTGTGTGTCTGTCAGTCAAAGTGTGTGTTAGTCTTTAACATGAAGAGGTGTGGTCTTGACAGGAAGAGGTGGGACAAATGTAAATTAGGGGGTGCCAAAGTTTGATCATGCCTAGGATAGCACAGATCCAAAATACACCACAGGTATACTTAATTGAAAAAGATGGTAGCCACTCCCTATCTATAATCTCAGCCACAAATATCTGGGTAACCACGGTAATCCCCATCAAAAAGTAAGAAAAAAAAAAAAAAAAGTAGCTGATTGCCCTAGCAACTAGCAACACTAGATATGTGTATTTCTTGCAATTAAAAATAGCTAATCAGGAAAAAAAGATCACAAAATACAAACAAAACAAATATAAGCCTAGTAAGAAACTTAAAAAATTTGGAAACTGTCTGTGGGATTCGGCTGGAACAACAGCCCCAACGTCTTCATGACATTGAGCAACCAAAAAGACTGCCATTGCTTCTCTCTCATAAAAATGTAACATTTGTAATGTAGCCATTTAACATTGAGTATTATTATTATGTTATTATTTATATAGTGCCAAGAAATTCCACAGCGCTTTACAGTGGGTGGACGAGCAAACATGTAGTTGTAACCAGACAAGTTGGACACACAGGAACAGAGGGGTTGAGGGCCCTGCTCAATGAGCTTACATGCTAGAGGGAGTGGGGTAAAGTGACACAAAAGGTAAGGATAGTATTAGACTAATGACAGTTGCAAGAGAGGAATCAGTCGCGAGCTATTCACAGTTTAATTGATACGCTTTTATGAAGAAGTGGGTGATTTTAAGACTGGGTGACCATCTAACGGAGGAGGGAAGTGAGTTCCACAGGAACGGTGCAGCCGAGGGGGGAGTACGGACAGATGATAGACCTGAAGAAGTCTTCAGCAGAGCGTAAGGGCGAGACATACTTGTGTATTAGGGAGGATAGATAGGTGGGAGCAGCATTATGTAGAGATTTGAAAGCAAG